CTTCTCCAAAGCGCCTGAAGGCAGGACAAGAAGCAACGGGTGGAAACTAACCAAGGAGAGAAGCAACCTAGAACTAGGGAGAAACTTCCTGACAGTTAGAACAATTAACCAGTGGAACGACTTGCCACAGGAAATTGGGGGTGGGGGGCCTTCATCAGTGGAGGTTTTCAAGAGGAGACTGGACAGCCTCTTGTCTGAAATGGTAGAGGGTCTCCTGCTTGAGCAGAGGATTGGACTAGAAGACCTCCAAGGTCCCTTCCAACTGTGATGATGACGATGAGTCCAGCGTGCAAGTATAATTCTTCTCAGTTCTCTTGGACATCAAGAATTCGAGGATCAGGATCTCTACCAAGGTACCAATTGCCTTCACTTTTTAACCAATTCCTCTCTATTGGAGCCAAGACAGCAGATGTCTTAATATCTCTTCCGCCATTTGACAGATTTGTCAGCAATACAACAGTTTGCTGACACTCTAGCTCTAAATTCTCTCCCCGCATTTTGTTGTCCTAATAACGGGGGAGAAAAAAAATGAAACGGGGACACTGGCGCTACAGCCATATTATCTTTTTCAAAGCATATTTGAACCTGCCAAGTAAATTTGGATCTGCTACCAATTTTTTTCCAAGTGACTTGCGAGTCGATCAGCGAGAGCTTTCGGCGTGTTGTGATTTAGCAAAAGCAACAAGGGAAACCTGAGCCAAATGAGTAAAATACACAATAACATTTTTTAAAAAAACAAAACGAAAAGAATAATTGACAATGAAATTCTGCGGTTTTGTTTCTAAGCATTTTACTCTTTTTCTGCACTGGATTTCAGCATTCTAGTGAGATACAAAACAGATTCCATAAACATGCAGTTGCCCTCCACTTCATGTTTTATGTATTTTATTTTTATTTTTAATTGGGTATGTCTAGTTGAATGAAGAGAAGGACGAGGGGGGACAGGATAGCAGGGTTCCAGTATCTCAGGGGCTGCCCCAAAGAAGAGGGAGTCAAGCTATTCTCCAAAGCTCCTGAAGGCAGGACGAGAAGCAACGGGTGGAAACTGATCAAGGAGAGAAGCAACCTAGAACTAAGGAGAAACTTCCTGACAGTGAGAACAATTAACCAGTGGAACAACCTGCCTCCAGAAGCGGTGAATGCTCCAACACTGGAAGTTTTTAAGAAGAGACTGGACAGCCATTTGCTACGGGTAGTCTTCAACAACCACAATCGGTACCCAAATTTCTGTGACTACCGTGTTTCCCCCAAAATAAGACCCAACCAGAAAATAAGCCGTAGCATGATTTTTCAGGATGCTCGTAATATAAGCCCTACCCCCAAAATAAGCCCCAGTTAAGATCGTCACCCAGAGGGACACAATTAGTACTTTATTTTCCCGAAAATAAGCCCTAACTGGAAAATAAGCCAATAGTAATAATAATAATAATAGTAATAATAATAATAATAATAATAATAAATAATAATAATAAATAATAAATAATAAATAATAATAATAATAATAATAAAGTTGGAAGGGACCTTGGAGGTCTTATAGTCCAACCCCCTGCTCAGGCAGGAAACCCTATACCATTTCAGACAAATGGTTGTTCAATTTCTTCTTAAAAACTTCCAGTGTTGGAGCATTCACCGCTTCTGGAGGCAGGTTGTTCCACTGGTTAATTGTTCTAACTGTCAGGAAGTTTCTCCTTAGTTCTAGGTTGCTTCTCTCCTTGATGAGTTTCCATCCGTTGCTTCTTGTCTTTGCCCTCAGGTGCTTTAGAGAATAGCTTGAATCCCTCTTCTTTGGGGCAGCCCCTTAATGCGTCTTTTGGAGCAAAATTTGATATTAAGACCCGGTGTTATTTTGGGAGAAGCAAGGAATTCAGCTGTGCCTGATTTTACAACCTTTTTGCCACCGTTAAGCACATCACAGTGAATCGTCGGGTCATTAAAGAAATCTAGCTTTCCCCACTGATTTTGCTTGTTGGAAGCCAGCTGGGAAGTTTTGCAGATGGCAAAAAACACAATCATCCTGTCATAAATACATGCCCTGTTGCCAAGTGCCCAGATTTTGAGCCTATGACGGGTTGCTACAGCTGTTGTAAATGTGAGGCCCGATCATAAGTCACTTTTTTCAGCCGTTGTAACTTTGAATGATCACTAAATGAACTGTTTGTAACTGCCTGTACTATCTTTTGACATCACCATAGACAGTTCTAGATGGCAGATCCAGGAAAGTTGCAGATGCTCAGCCCTTGTGGAGCTAACCCCTTCAGTCACTTGCGCGCACCCCAGCCATATTCCGATTTTTATGGAGATTCTTATCATAGATTGATGGCGCTGCTTGCAAAACCAGACGAGTTCTACATCTGTTGTCTTTTAGTCGGGACTAGGATACAAAATCGGTGTTTAACGCCGCCAGATTTTCTGCGGTAGTTTGTAGAATTTGACTGCAAATTAGCAGCTGGTTAATTTCCAACGTTTTATGCGGGTTGTATAATAATGATAATGATGATAATGTTGATTTGTTTCTTTTGCTTGGACTGCTTTTTGGTCCCAACGTATGGAGGAGATTGCACTGTTCCTTAGCGATTTCAACCCAGTAAAATAAAATAATAAAATGAAATAAAACGTAAAATGAATAAAATAAAATAAAACATAAAACAAAACAAAACAATAAAATAAAAATATAAAATAAGATCATCTATCTATTCTATTCTATTCTATTCTATTCTATTCTATTCTATTTTCTATATTTATATAAATAAAAATGTAAATGTCCGTTTGTTGAAAATCTTAAATCTCCGAAAGTTCTTCACTGATTGCTTTGACATTTTGACACAACGTTGCATTTGAATACGCGCATGTTTTTATATACCTATATTATATAGATGTCACACCTGTGACAGATAAAAACATGCTTTTTTAAAAAAACAGCGCCATCTGTTGGACGTAAAAGGAACACACGCTTTCTTTTCCATTTAACCAGACTGAGCCACAGCAACGCGTGGCTGGGTACAGCTATAAATAATATAAAATAAAATATAAAATAAAATATCCGTGAGATGCAAGCACACAAAACCACGCACCCTCCGGCCCACGGGAAAACCTCTCCACGGAACCGGTCCCTGGTGGCCAAAAGGTTGGGGGACCTCTGGCCTATGCCGTACCCTAAATAAATCAATAAATTTCTTACAGGTGGAACAGTTCTGGCGGTTTTACAGCCACATGGTCCGTCCTGGGGACCTGACAGGCCACAGCGACTTCCATCTTTTCAAAGAAGGGATTAAACCTATGTGGGAGGTGAGTGTTAAAGCCGACGGCGAGCTTTGCTTAGTAAGGCCTTCCTGGCGCTGACGTTGCTACTGTGGAAGTAAGCGAGGCTTCAATCCAGGTTTAACATTGAGTGGTATGATGGGAGGCACTCTGTCCTGGTTCCGATAGATGAGACCGGTAGAAATAAGAACTCTGAGGCAATTGCTTTCCTAAAATAGGAGCCAGCTGTGTGCTGCAGCTGCCAAAAAGGCCAACACAGTGCTAGGCTGCATTAACAGAGGGATAGAATCAAGATCAGGTGGAGTGTTAATACCACTTTACAAGGCCTTGGTAAGGCCACACTTGGAATACAGCATCCAGTTTTGGTCACCACGATGTAAAAAAGATGTTGATACTCTAGAAAGAGTAAAGAGAAGAGCAACAAAGAGGATCAGGGGATCGGAGGCTAAAACATACAAGGAACGGTTGCTGGAATTGGGTATGTCTAGTTTAACGAAGAGAAGGATGAGGAGGGACATGATAGCAGTGTTCCAATATCTCAGGGGCTGCCCCAGAGAAGAGGGAGTCAAGCTATTCTCCAAAGCGCCTGAAGGCAGGACAAGAAGCAACGGATGGAAACTCATCAAGGAGAGAAGCAACCTAGAACTAAGGAGAAACTTCCTGACAGTTAGAACAATTAGCCAGTGGAGCAACCTGCCTCCAGAAGCAGTGACTGCTCCAACACTGGATGTTTTTAAGAAGAGACTGGACAGCCATTTGTCCGAAATGGTATAGGATTACCTGCGTGAGCAGGGGGTTGGACTTGATGACCTCCAAGGTCCCTTCCAACTTTTATTATTACTATTATTATTATTATTTTTATTATTATTATTATTATTATTATTATATAACAATTTTAATAGCTACGTAATATCAGCACGAACATAGCTGAAACCAAGACTGGAAGTTCCCCCCCCCTCCCAAAAGGTTACAAAATAAAAGTTAAACTTCCCACCTGCTAAATATGTAATAAATCAGATTCTCTAATTAACACCTTTGGCGGGTTCTCTAACGGTAGTTCTAACCCACCAAACACTTGAGCAATTTGACCTTGGTTCCCACAGGAAAGTTCTTGTTACGACTGAACTAGAAGAATGCATTTTCCCTCCTCCCTTAGCTGTGGCAAGCTGAAAATCGAAGGAAGATGGCTGTGACCAAAAGTAGCTTTGTAGGTTTGACACACCTCATTGTCCCCATTGTTGTGGTCATCGGTTTTTTTCACTCGTTTGGCGAGAAGGGCAGCCGTTGGCCAACGATCCTGTTAGCAAGAGAGAGGCCAAGAGTTTGCGCACGGTACTGGTTCAGAATGCTCTGGCCTATAAATTATTTATTTATTAGATTGTTATTTTTTTTCATCTACCCTTATTACTTTATAAGAAACTCGAGATGGCGCACGTAGCTGATACTCCTTCCTCTTCCTAATTTTCCCCACAATAAACAACCCAGTGAGGTAGGTTGGGCTGAAAGAGAGGGACTGGCCCAGAGTCGCCTAGCCAGCTCTCATACCCAAGGTGGAACTAGAATTCACCCTCTCCTAGTGATTGACCCAAAGTCACCCATCTGGCTTTCAGACTTAAGGTGGGACTAGAACAAAGATCTCCCGGTGACTGGGCCAGAGTCACCCTGCCAGTTTTCATGCTAGAATTCTCCATCTCCTAGCGATTGGCCCAGGGTGATCCCGTCGACGTTTATAGCTGAGGCAGGACTAGAACTCACCGTCTCCTAGTGACTGGCCCAAAATCACCCAGTTGGGTTTCGTGGCTAAAGCAGGACTAGAACTCCCCAGCTCTGAGTGATTGGCCCACAGTCACCCTGTCAGTGTTTGCGCCTAAGAGGGGACTAGAACTCACGGTCACCTGGTTTCTGGGCCAGCCCTTTAACTGCTACACCACACTGGCTCTCCATAAAGTGGTGCTGTTTATTGGAACTGCCGCCCTCTTTCACCTGTCAGGGATTAGACACCTGGATGCTTCTGTTGATGGAAAATAGTCTCAAGCCGGCATTGTGGTTTATGCCTAATTTTCTTCCCCGCCCTCTTCCCAGGACGATGCCAACAAGAACGGGGGCAAGTGGATTATCCGCCTCCGAAAGGGCCTGGCATCCCGGTGCTGGGAGAACCTCATTCTGGCTATGCTGGGAGAACAGTTTATGGTGGGGGAAGAAATCTGTGGGGCCGTCGTCTCCGTCCGTTTCCAGGTGAGTCACGGGGGGGGGGGGAGTTACAGAGGCGGCTGTCCATCTGAGCCCGGGGGCTGCCCTCTTTAATCTCCTTTTTTTAATATAAAGTTTTATTGATTATTTTTTTGAACAGAATTCAGTAGTAATCATTCCACAAAAATGCATTGTCCGAGTATCTTATTCACTCATACAAATTAAATTCCTAATCCCTAAATCCCTAAAGATGTTGAGACTCTGGAAAGAGTACAGAGAAGAGCAACAAAGATGATCAGGGGACTGGAGGCTAAAACATATAAGGAACGGTTGCTGGAATTGGGTATGTCTAGTTTAACAAAGAGAAGGACGAGGGGGGACATGATAGCAGTTTTGCACTATCTCAGGGACTGCCCCAAAGAAGAGGGAGTCAAGCTATTTTCCAAAGCGCCTGAAGGCAGGACAAGAAGCAACTGGTGGAAACTCATCAAGGAGAAAAGCAACCTAGAACTAAGGAGAAACTTCCTGACAGCTAGAACAATTAACCAGTGGAACAGCCTGCCTCCAGAAGCTCTGAATGCTCCAACACTGGAAGTTTTTAAGAAGAGACTGGACAGCCATTTGTCTGAAATAGTATAGGGTTTCCTGCCTGGGCAGGGGAATGGACTAGATGACCTCCAAGGTCCCTTCCAACTTTATTATTATTATTATTATTATTATTATTATTATTATTATTATTATTATTATTATTATTAAATCTTTTCTATAATCATCGGTAAAACAGGTCCCAAGTTTGAAAATGTTCTGTTTCTTCTTTTTCTTTCCACCTTAAAGTAAGTCTCTCCATTTCCGCACAGTCTAGTATTGTTTTGATTCTTTCTTCTTCTGGTGGTGTTTCTTCATTCTTCCAACATGGTGCAAATATAATTCTTGTCACTGTTGTCCCATGTAAAATCAAGTACGTACTGTGCTTATCAAGTTTTTCTGGCATCATGCCTAGTAAAAAAAAATTCAGGCTTTACAAACTCTTTTTTTTTTAAGATATTTTATTAATTTTCCAGTTTTACATATAAGTATTTAGAAGGCAATGTGGTAATTGGATTAAACAATAATTCAGTAATACAAGCTTTAGTAGGTATCTCAGGTTACATCATCAAATATTTCTTCTCTTGTTTCCCTTAACGCTTGCTATTTCATATTTAAGCTAACAAATTTCTAATTGTATCAAAACTTAGTATAAACTTCATTATCGCATTTATAAATACATTTTTTTTGCTTATACATATCTTAATAAATCTCGATGCACAATCAACGTCCTGTTATTAAATTTTTACCTAATTTTAAATTTTAATGACGTATTTCCAACTGATCTTTAGTAGCCATACTATTTAACTTTCAGGTGAGCCAAATTTCCTTTTATCTCGTTTCATATCAGTTATAACGTCTGAAATTCACATATTTACAAACTCTTTCAATCGCCTCCGGGCGGTTCTCCCTGCAGGAAGATATCATCTCCATATGGAACAAGACAGCCAGCGACCAGGCCACCACGGCCAGGATCAGGGACACCTTACGACGAGTTCTCAACCTTCCCCCCAACACCATCATGGAGTACAAAACGCACACGGACAGCATCAAGTACGTGCCCGGGATGCGGGGAGGGTGCGAGAAATGGCCGGAACGCGCTTGGTTTCCGTGTCCTTACGGTCCTGAATGCTGCTTGAACACAAATAGAAGGCATGGTGGGCGCATATTCTATGGCAGTGGTGGCTAACCTATGGCATGCATGCTAGAGGCGGCACTCAGAGCCCACTCTGTGCCACCGCCGCTAGCAACAGGTCCATCAGACCTGCCAACGCCGCCCGGAGCAGGACCCCCCCCGCCCAGCACAAAGAAGGTGAAGCGGCCGACTAGCAAGCTCAAACACAGGTGGTAGAGCAGAGGTCAGCAACCGTTGTTGATTGGTGGACTGGAAGAAAAGGGAGGGGGAAGCATTTTACATGCGTGCATGCGCGCACGGGGCCGCGAGCACGCACGTGTTGCAAATGGGGCAGGGCTAGTGCCTGCATGATACTCACTAGCCCTGCCCCGTTCTTGCGTGATGCAGTGCCTTGTATCTGCACCCCGCATCGCCGCCGCGGCTGTTTTTGCGGCTTGCAGCACGGGGGCCCATTTTTGCGCCCCCGGGTTTTGCATGCCAGAGGCGGTACTCAGAGGTTCCCCCCCTCCCTGAGGGCACCACAATGCCGATGCGGCCCTGGCACTTTGCGATAAATAAGTGGGTTTGGGGTTGCGGTTTGGGCACTCGGTCTCTAAAAAGTTCGCCATCACTGTTCTCTTGGGTGCATCTCGTCAGGGCTTTGGACCTCCGAGCTCAGCAGTTTGCTGAAGAGCAAAACACAAAAAAGCAACAACAACCCCACAACTGTTACTGCTTCCCTCAGGAATCCGCTCCGCCCCGACAACCTACGACAACTTTTTGTTTTTTAATTCTCCTTCACTGCTTTCAGACGGACAGGCAGGAATCGGACTTCAACTCCCAGAATTCCTCAGCCAGGCATGCTTACTCTCTTGTAATCCCTTCCTATGCAATCTCTCCACTAGAGGAGGTAAGAGAAAAAAAACAAAAGAGGCATGGCTGGCTGAGGAATTCTGGGAGTTGAAGTCCTCAAGTCATAAAAGGGCCTAGTTTGAAGACCAAGCGCAGTGGTTCACTTAACAAATGTGGCAAGAAACGTCGTAAAATGGGGCCAAACCTCGCCGAATTCATTTCTCGCTCAGCATGCATAAAATTGTGGGCTCCCATGGTGGTCGTAAGTCAAGGACTACCTGTTTTGGGTTGTTGTTTTTTTCTCTGATGGGTTTCTCATCCCAAACTGAACCGTGAAGCCTTGCCCGGCCCCAAACCTCCGACGCAATCTGCTTCCCAACCCAAATTTCCCATTGTTGCCGGTCTGGGGGTTCGAATTCTTTGCGCCCGTGAGCCAAACCGGCGAGAGAAAAATGTGTCGTGCGGGCCCGCTCTGCCTTGCTGGGGGAAAATAAACTACGGCAACTAACGAGGATGTATAAGCCCATTAGATTTATAAATGCTCTCAAGAAGGCGCTATGTAAATGGCCTGCGGCTGTAGAAATGATTTCCGATCGTTCTAAACGCCGTATATTAAATTTCGCCAGCTCCCTC